TACTCAACTGCATCTGCTTTGATTGTCCTTTCAAACATGCTTAAGGGCAATGAGTACCATAGAGCATTAAGCCCATTGTGGCAATAATTTAGAGAAAATTTACACGTGAGTTTTTGCAGTGGATCTTGCTTTTTTTACATACTGCCCTTAATAACAACGCGTCGTTGGATTCTTGCATATGTATATAGGGTTTACTCCTAAAGTATAACAAAGCACCCTCGCTCCTTGGATTCCTTAAACCTAGTCTTGGAATAATACATTGGGTGAATCCCCAAGACAAGAAGCTAACACAAACTCCCTTGTCATCGACGGGAAGGAACACATTTTCCACAAGAAAAGCCAATATTTTACCAAGGATCGAACCAATCACGCTAAGCGGCTTGTGCGCGCGAAAACGAGGTGTGAAATCAAGTCTTCACCTCCTCATTAGGAAGCAAATTTTTTTATGGAGAAGCCTGATGCTGAGATCAGCTGTCTTCAAGGGTTGCCATGCATGGGTCCTTTGCAGGAGGAAACAGGTCAATCAAACAGCGTGAACTCTCGGCTCAGCGGGCAAGATACGCCTGCGCAACTGAGCCAAACACGCATAGCGAAGGCATTCGATTCATCTTCTTCAATAATCCCCGTTGCCCAGTCTGTTCCTGTGGGAGCTGCATTAGTGACGCAATTCATAGAGCATCCTGCCGCACCTAGTAGTTCTGGTGATGTTTCGTTGCATGACCGATCATTTTTTTTGTTATCAAACTCCGTCTCTGTCCCACCCTCACGTCATTCTAGAAATGCAACTGCCCCTTTTCGCTCTAAAAATGGTAAAACCCAAAGCAACTCGCCCTCTGTAGCCGCGCCGGGCCAACAATCTGTGCGGCCAGAGGGTTTAGTTTGTCCTACTAATCAACTAGAGGAAACTCCACGAGCGAGTTACCGCGAAATGTCGTATTGTCGGAGAGGAAACTCGAGTGTCGTATCATCGATGACCTGTGTTCCAGCATTGACATCATTGAATCAAGTTTATAAAGATTTTGTAGATTTAGTTCCGCCGTGCCTCCTTCCAAAGGACACCGAGTCCATAAAGTCTTGCAGAGAGGACAATAAAAAAGAGGCGGCTGTGAGGGATTATTTACGAAGAATGAATATCCTCAGCTTAGATGTCGTGTCGAACGGCATAGATACATCCCTAAATATCTTTCATGACGCCCTTTTTAATGGCTGCGCATTATGCCAACTCACGTCGTATCTCTTTGTTAAACAGATGGAATTGGTCACGAAAGGCGATCCGGTTGCTTGTCGGCAGCCACGCCTCATTGAAGAGGTACGTTTAAACTACATTGCTTCTCTTCGCATCATTAGTGAGGTGCCGGACTGCGCCAATGTCATCTCACCCCATCTTCTTTGTTTCACCCCAGAGGATGTTTATCGTCACGGTCGCATTAGCGCCTTGCTGAACCTGTATGTGCATCTCATCGCACTCCGCTTACCATCCCCAGAGCGTTTGCCATTGTTCCCCCCGGAGCTGTCCTGGCAGACACCTGCGGATACGGGACACTATGCACCTGAAGATGCCCTGTCCATGTGGAAGGCGGAGCGCCACGCGTGCGATTTCCTTTTCACCTGTGGGGTGTTACCCGATCCACAGTACTACGCTTTGCCGGAGGACAACTGTCTGATCCCACGCCCACTTGACGTGCCTGCCATTCCGCATTACCACTCCAAACGATTTGTGAGGCGTGGAGCGACGCCGGCGGCGCTCTACATCCCTTCAGTGTTTCCTTACTTGTGCAACGGACTCGCGCTGCGTCGGTTGGTTCGTCGGGTCTTCTCAGGTTCGGTCACACGGCGGTTGGGTCCGTCAGGGAACCCCACGACGCCGGCGGGCTGCATGGAGAGCCTCCACGCCTCCCTTGAGGCACTGCAAACCCTCTCCGAGAGCCTTTCTTGTGCGCAGACAAGGCTGGTGCATCATATCTACGCCGGGCACCGCCGGAGCATCGTTCTCCTCCTCGTGGCTGTGGCTGAGGTGGTGGGGCATCAAATGCGCACGACGCCAAGGGCCTCCTTGCGGCCCTCCGCGATGGCTTCCTCGCTGCGGGAAGATGAGGCCCGTCCTTCTGAGCTGTCAAACTCCCCCTTGGCCGTCAAACGGTCCGACGGTAGGACGCCACGCGCTCCGGCATCAGGGAAGAATGGGTTGGGTAGCGCCCTGGACGGCAATGAGGCTTCTTTTTCCAAAAAGAAGAGGGCACATTTGCACGCCTGGCTCGGAACCGTCTTGGGGATGAACTTTAAATATGCATCCAAGGACAACACATTTTCCTTTAGCTCATCAGACTTTAGCTTCACCGACCCATTCCTACTTTTCTCAGATGGTGTGGTGCTAGCCCACCTCATCCGCACGTTAGAAAGGCGCCGCTGTGAAAGTCTAGATTGTGTCCTACCAACCACCAAGAAACCTGCCAAACTGTTTAATATACGCCGTTGTCTTTTATTCGTTCAACAAGAAAGGGGGGTGACCTTTAATGTGTCTTTCATTGATGAGCGTCTGCTCAAAGGTGACCTTTGCGGTGTGTTGTCGCTACTAAGAAGCCTTAAGGAAAAGTATAAAGCTTTTTAGTAACATTTTCATCAAAGTAGTGCAAAAATCCAGAATATGATGAGCGAAGGACCAGTTTCAAATTAGGCATGTAGGAGGCACTGTCGATTAAGCATTGATCAAACTATTTTACTGATCCCCTGCTTCCGAACGAAAACTGAGAAGCACATGCACGTTATCAAAGTGTAATTTTTGTGTGAAAACTTATGCAAACAAGTTGCCTCTTACCACCTCAGACTACGTCAATGGCTAAAACATGAGCTGTATTAGCAGATGAAGTTTTCATTTGTAAAATCCTTTTTATTCTCTGAATCAATGGAAGAATGTTTTTATTACGATTTTTATTCATTTTTTGTTTTAAAAAGAGCTCCTTTTCTCCTTAAAGTAGTATTTCTCTCTTTCTTTCAAGCACTAAGTGGAAATTAAATCACTAAAAATTCAATATCATGGCAACTAACCCCGATATCGAAACCGATGTTTCATACGAAATTATTACTTTCTTTCGAAACCTTAACAAGGCCGTAGAATATTGTGATACGTCCGCCTTACACGATCTCTATGAAACTCAGTTCGATGCCCTCACAAAAAAGCACTACATCATTGGTCCCGGTCAGACACGACCATGGCCATCTTTGCGTCTAAAGCTTGTATCCGATAACTTCAAAAGCAAAATCGCTGAGCAGGTTTATAGCTTTATTTATTACAAGCACCTCTTCACCGATCGTGCGGCAAAGTTGCAGGATGCAAAGGTCTCATGGGGAACTTTTTCGGATCTCTTCAATGCTATCGCGGATGGCTATTTCGAGCTACCAAGCTGGATGTTATGGGACATCTTTGATGAATTCATTTATCAAATGACAGTGGTTTATCAAAAACGCTTTTCCACCCGCTCCGAGTGGACCTTGACGGAGACTTTCAACTGCATGGATCGAGTGATCAAGAAGTCGGGTATCAATGAGCTGATGTCTCAGCTCAATATGATTGAGGATATCACTAAGGATGGCAACACCAGGGCTCTTGGCGGTTTCTTTGCGATCATAACGCGTTCTAAACTGAACGTTCTCCTTGGCAGCTATTTTGATGCATTGTCGGATCTTCAACCACTTGACATTTTTGGTGTGGGTCGCTCTGTTCTTCAAAAAGTGACTCCGGCTTACATCTCCCTGCTTTACCACGTCGGGTTTAGCTATCTTATGATCCACCGCTATGAAGATGCCAGTAACAATTTCCGCCGCTGCTTGGCGGTAAAATCATCTGGCAGAAGGTTCTCAGAGCGGCTTCAACTTGATGCGGCATATATGTTTGTGTGCTCACGTGTATTGGGTGGCATGGTGATAACTAACGTCAGCTCTTACCTAGACCCGCGCAAGGTGGCCTCTTTCGAGGACGACAAGGAATCGCTGCGCTTAGGTGATGAAGAGCGATTTCGAGACGTCTTCGATCGATGCAGTCCGAAGTTTCTCAGTGTTCCACCACTGGCTAGTGGTGTCAAGGGAACTGAAGGAAAGGAGCACCAGGCTCGAATGTTTCGCCGTGCTGTGCAGCAGCAGCAGGAAATCATCAAGCTTCGCGGCTACTTCGGCGTCTACCAGAACACCAAGATGAGCCTACTGGAGACACTCTTAGACACCGACGACGGCTATGCCCCTCTTTTCGCGCTCAAGCTGCGTTCTCGGCAGCTTGTGCACAACGGAGAGTCGCCCGACCTTCTCTCAGGGGACTACAAAGTCAGTGCACAGTATGATTGCATTGTTAGTGATGATAACGTCGAGGTCGTGCCGTGCGTCAATTTTGGAGGCATGGAGGGTAAATTCTTTAATAAAATCAAAGGACTCCAGCGTGCTCAGCAGAAGCAGGCGCAGCGCAAGCAAAACCAGACTCGACCCCGCCGTGAACCCGGCGAGGGAAGACCACAACAAGGCGAGCGCCGGCGCCCGCAACAGCGTGGTGCAAAGGGCACGCAGGAGCGTGGTCAGAATCCTCGGAACCCTCAACAGCGCCGCTATAATAACGCTCAACACCACGGCGCTCCACTCAGCAGCGACAACAACAACCTATTCAATAGGAACGTGGAGCAGTAGAGATGAGCCCAAGATGTGAGAGGAGAGCTTGTATTTTCGCTTTTGACTGTGGGTTGATTTTACTTAAGAGGATGTGCATCGAATTTTGTTCGTCTGCATTTGTGATGGGAAATACCAATAATTAACTTTTTGTTAAATATAATCGCTAAGTAATAGACAAGGCTCAATACCTTTTTATTGCTCGCAACGCTGTGAAAGTGAGCCAAATTAAATCCTGCTATAGTTGCCTAATAAGTTTTCATTTCGCGAACCCTACTTTAAGCGACTTCCATCTGCTCCATGGTTCTTTGTTTCACTTTTTCTCTTTTTTTCAAGGGCATTTTTATTTTTGAAGCAACTACAGAACCAACTGAACGACCATAGTATGCCTTTTAGCAGCGATGATGATGAGGTCCCAGATCTACCACAGATCCATGAACTTCATCATATTTCCAACAGTCGTATGGAGGAGCAAGTTAAACGATTGGAGCGTCTTGAGAATGAGTTCAAGGCTCTTAAAAAGGAGATGCAGACTACCGTGTCTACCACATGCACCCAAACATCAAGTAATCCAAAAAGTATGTTGTATAATACCCTACCAGCAGAGTCATCCAACATAAATGGCACTTTAGAGGACAATAAAGCGATTGAAATCTCTGAGGAGGTTGACAAAGAATTGCGTCTTCAAGAGGTCCAATATGAACTAAGGACGCTCGTTCCTTATTTATCACCAGAATTCAGCCCTAGCTTCCAGGATACAGTTCTTCTCATCACTGCAGTGCGGAACGGCCACGGTGAGAAGGGCCAAGATTCGCTGATGGATAAAATCACCCTTCTGGAGGCAGAAAAACGTTCCTTAAGCCAGAGACTTGCCAAGAAAACCAATGAATGTGAGGATCTTAGGTCGCAGCTAGTTGGTGTACAGCAGAGAATACAGGCTATCAAGCAGGAGGAGCAGCATAAAAACGGCATTTTATCCAAAAGAAGGGAGGAAATGAGGAAGCAACTTCTAATTGAGGAAGGTAAAGTTCAGAAGCTCAATGTGAGGTACAAAAAGTTAGAAGTTGAGAATGAAGAACTTAGGTCGCGCGTAAGAGCGAGTCTTCGCTAGGCGGAACCTGATCTGTTTGTGTGTTCTCAATTTTATGAACTCATTCCTTGAGTTATATTATTTTCATTGTTCATTCTTTCCTTTCCATTTGTGCAATACATTACAATTCACTTACGTTAGTTGCGCAATACCAACACGTGCATCGACGTCGTGGATAAAGTGAAAGATATAACGAAACAGCACCATTCCACCTTATTGATGGTGGGCCATTAGACAGAATGCATTCTTAATAAAAGTGCCCTAATCTATCTTTCCTCTCTCGTTTTCTATGAAATAGGAAGCATCAAATATCTCTTATTTTTTGTTTCTTGGCGTATAGCTATATCAGCTTAAGGAAGGCATACAAATCACAGGTGCTTGTACGCTTGATGGGCGTTACTCGGACTGTTAAAAAGGAGGGGTCTGGCCCTCTTGTTAAGCCTGGAGATAAGGTTACCGTGCACTGCACTGGCTACATTGCGGATGGGAAAAGGAAATTTTGGTCCACTAAGGATGACAATCAAACATTTGCCTTTGTTGTTGGGGCTGGTCACGTTATCAAGGGGTGGGATGAAGGGGTGCTTCAGATGCGAATCGGCGAGGTGGCTGAGCTTCTCGTTACATCTGACTATGGGTACGGTGCTCGTGGGTTTCCAGCGTGGAACATACCACCGAATGCAGATTTGCTGTTTGAGATAGAAGTTTTGCAGAATACCAGTCGATAATACTAGAGGTCAAATACTTTACAAACGGTATATCACACGACCCCATCTATTTTTTTTCTTATTTTTCTTCTACCTTTTCATTGTATTGGGTACCGTGTGGAAAAGTTATTTTTATCTAAATTTTTCTTGCCGGCAAAAATGTCCTAAGCTTTCTATGACTGAGAATATTTATGCATCCTGGTGAAGAGATGTTCTAATCTCTCAGTAATTTTCAATAATCAATAAACTTCTTCTTCTTTTTCTAAAAAAAAAGCCTCATTTGTGAAGAGAATTAAAATATCGTGCCTACAAAAAAGTTCTAAGAGCATATTGTTCACTTATATCGCGCATTCTTTGGAAAAGTGAAATCATGCCGATCAAATATTCATTGGTTGTTCCAACTTACAAGGAGAGTGGAAACATTAGGCCACTTTGCCAACGTGTCTTCCAAGCGCTTGAGAAGGATGGCTTCAAGAGCAGTGAAGTAGAAATGATTATTGTTGATGATAACTCACGTGACGGCTCTGTTGAAATCGTTGATGAATTGAAGAAGGAGGGATTTAATGTCCGTATCGATGTGCGCACCACTGAGCGTGGCCTCAGTAGTGCTGTCATTCATGGGTTGAAAAAATCGGCTGGTGATTTTAGGCTTGTAATGGATGCAGATTTGCAACACCCGCCAGAATTCGTACCTGCATTGTTTAAGTGTTTAGAGGAAGATAATAATCAATTTGTGTGCGGAACGCGCTATGGAGTGGGCGCAACGATTGACAAAGATTGGCCCCTTCATCGTCGTATAATCTCATCCACCGCCCGTTTTATGGCCCGCCCTCTAACAGCACTTTCAGATCCAATGTCTGGATTCTTTGCGATCCGAAAGGAATGCTTTGAGTTGGGGCTCAAAGATGTTGACCCCATTGGTTACAAAATTGCATTGGAACTTTTTGTGAAGTGCCATGTAGCTAAGCACGGCGAGGTACTCTTTAACTTTTCAACGAGAAAATTTGGAGAGTCAAAGCTTACAGGTAAAATATTCACTGACTACCTGAAGCATTTGCATAGACTTTATTCCTACAAATATGGGGTTGTGTACTATTCCGTTTACTTCATGTGTGCATTGCTCGCATTCCAAGGAATGCGTGGAGTCTATAATTATTTTTTTTTGAAAAATCATGCTAGCTAACGACATCGTTATCTCCCTTCGCCGCCCACAAAAAATACCATGTAGGTATATGAAAAGATTTACATATACATATATGTATGTTTTTTCTCTAGAAATAACAAGATCAATTTATTTTATGTTTTCCCCTGTGTTAGGGCTCTGATGGCGAAAATTAGGATCATCCCACATTCAAAAGACTTAAGCAGGTTCTACACGACCCTGATCCCTTGGTCTAAATCGGTGCACCTAATCTATCTACTGGTCAATACATAATTTAGTGCTCGATATGTTGGATTCTTGTGTGCATGCTAATAATCATTTTGATGTGTCTGATGTAGTACCAAAACACTTATTATTATGATTTCACTTGGCGTATAATCTGTTAGAGACTGGTCTACATTCTTTCCTTTACATTAATATGCTTTTCATTTACGTTGGAGCACATCCAATGTGTTTACCTCTCAAATACCTTTCCCTGCAGTATGAAGTGAGTTTGTTAAGGTGCAAAACTTTGATTAGATTCATGCCATTGTGGGTGGAATGAGTGCATTTTCTTGGTGGCATGGGTTGCGTAATTCTCGGTTCAAGGATGTTCCCTTTGTTTGCCTAGGGTTATTCATAGGATGGAACAGCGACTTTGGATGCACCGTGAATGGCCGATCGATGCTTCCGACCTTAGAACCAGGCGATTTCCTTTTGTTTATTCCTTATTCACTTTTAGCCTTCAAAAAGCTGTTTGGTAAGCAACTAGTAAACGAAGGCGACGTAGTTGTACTTAAGATATCAGATCATCTTTCGGTCTGCAAGCGGGTGATTCGAACAACGGCATCGGCACAAGAGGTTGCGGATTGGAATGCGCGAAGCTTCATCGATGCAGAGACATATTTGGCTGAAAATATCGATCGCCGAATATCACAAGAAAAGCGGGAGTGGGATGACTCTTTGAACAAAACCTTCCGCTCTCGCGAATGGGATTCATGTATCGATAGGGTATCAAATCCCTTGCAATGGATTTGGGTAGAGGGAGACAATAAGGACACAAGCATGGATTCTCGCGCATGCGGTGCTGTGCCAGTTGAATGTCTTCGAGGACGTGGCATTGGAGTCATCTGGCCACATTTAAAACTCCTTAAACGCCAAACCGTTTAGTTTTTATTAACAGAAGAATTATTTAATTTTTCCAATGAAAACAATTCAATATAAAAAATATTATGACATGTTAGGATAAAAGTTGTTAATAAATATTAATTTTTTAATTTAATACACTTAAATTGGATCTCATCAATACAATTTATTCAATAAATAGAATTTATTAATAGTAAGTATTATTTTAAATATCATATCCAAACAAAATGGTGAACTTCACTGTTGACGAGGTGCGGAACCTCATGGACTATGCGGACCAGATCCGTAACATGTCCGTCATTGCCCACGTTGACCACGGTAAGTCAACACTTTCCGATTCGCTGGTGGGTGCCGCTGGTATTATCAAAATGGAGGACGCGGGTGACAAGCGTATCATGGACACCCGCGCGGACGAAATCGCTCGTGGCATTACAATCAAGTCGACGGCTATTTCCATGCATTACCACGTACCCAAGGATATGATCAAGGATTTGGATGATGACAAGCGCGACTTCCTCATCAACCTCATCGATTCACCCGGACACGTTGACTTCAGTTCTGAGGTGACGGCCGCGCTGCGTGTGACGGACGGTGCACTTGTGGTTGTGGACTGCGTGGAGGGCGTGTGCGTGCAGACAGAGACGGTGCTCCGCCAGGCGCTGACGGAGCGTATTTGCCCCGTTGTGTTCATCAACAAGGTGGACCGAGCCATCCTGGAGCTCCAGCTGGACCCTGAGGAGGCGTACCAGGGCTTCGTGAAGACGCTGCAGAACGTGAACGTGGTGATTGCGACGTACAAGGATCCGTGCATGGGTGACGTTCAGGTTGCCCCTGAGAAGGGAACCGTGGCCATCGGCTCGGGTCTGCAGGCGTGGGCGTTCTCCCTGACGCGCTTCGCAAACATGTACGCGGCGAAGTTTGGCGTGGACGAGATGAAGATGCGTGAGCGCCTGTGGGGTGACAACTTCTTCGACGCGAAGAACAGGAAGTGGATCAAGAGCGAGACGAACTCCGACGGTGAGCGTGTGCGCCGTGCCTTCTGTCAGTTCTGCCTGGACCCTATCTACCAGATCTTTGATGCTGTAATGAACGAGAAGACGGAGAAGGTGAACAAGATGCTGAAGTCACTGAACATCTCGCTGACGATGGAGGAGCGTGATCTTGTGCCCAAGAAGCTGCTGAAGGTCATCATGATGAAGTTCCTGCCTGCCGCGGAGACGCTTCTGCAGATGATCGTGGCGCACCTGCCATCGCCCAAGAAGGCCCAGAAGTACCGCGCAGAGATGCTTTACTCCGGCCCTGCGTCGGAAGACGACAAGTACTACATGGGCATCAAGAACTGCGACCCGAATGCGCCCCTGATCCTTTACATCAGCAAGATGGTGCCGACTGCGGACAAGGGCCGCTTCTTTGCGTTTGGCCGTATCTTCGCCGGTAAGGTGCGCAGCGGCCAGAAGGTGCGCATCATGGGCAACAACTACATCTACGGCAAGAAGCAGGACCTGTATGAGGACAAGCCCGTGCAGCGCACCGTGCTGATGATGGGTCGGTACCAGGAGGCTGTCGAGGACATGCCGTGCGGTAACGTTGTGGGCCTTGTTGGCGTGGACAAGTACATCGTGAAGTCCGCCACCATCACGGACGACGGCGAGTCCCCATACCCGCTGCGTGACATGAAGTACTCCGTGTCGCCTGTCGTGCGTGTCGCGGTGGAGGCCAAGAACCCGTCCGACTTGCCGAAGCTCGTGGAGGGCCTGAAGCGCTTGGCGAAGTCTGACCCGCTGGTTGTGTGCTCGATCGAGGAGTCCGGTGAGCACATCGTCGCTGGTGCCGGTGAGCTGCACCTTGAGATTTGCCTCAAGGATCTGCAGGAGGACTTCATGAACGGTGCGCCACTGACGATTTCCCAGCCCGTCGTGTCTTTCCGCGAGACTGTGACGGAGTTGTCGTCGGTGCAGTGCCTGTCGAAATCTGCGAACAAGCACAATCGTCTGTTCTGCCGTGGTGCCCCCCTGACGGAGGAGCTGTCGACGGCTATCGAGGAGGGTCACGCGGCTGCTGACGTGGACCGAAAGGTGCGCGCGCGCTACCTTGCGGACAACTTCGAATGGGACGTCCAGGAGGCGCTGAAGATCATGTGCTATGGCCCGGACAACCGCGGTCCGAACGTCGTCGTGGACGTCACGAAGGGTGTGCAGAACATGAATGAGATGAAGGACTCCTTCATTGCCGCGTGGCAGTGGGCGACGCGCGAGGGTGTGCTGTGCGATGAGAACATGCGTGGTGTGCGCATCAACGTGGAGGACGTGACGATGCACGCTGATGCTATCCATCGTGGTGGCGGCCAGATCATCCCTGCGGCCCGCCGCGTGTTCTACGCGTGCTGCTTGACGGCTTCCCCGAGGCTGATGGAGCCGATGTTCATCGTGGACATCCAGACCGTTGAAAGCGCCATGGGCGGCATTTACAGCGTGCTGACGCGCCGTCGTGGTGTGATCATCGGGGAGGAGAATCGCCCAGGGACACCCATCTACAACGTGAAGGCCTACTTGCCTGTGGCGGAGTCCTTTGGCTTCACGGCTGAGCTTCGTTCGAGCACCGGCGGCCAGGCGTTCCCGCAGTGCGTCTTTGACCACTGGCAAGAGTACCCAGGCAATCCGCTTGAGCCGAAGTCCCCGGCGAACACCACGGTGCTCGGCATCCGCACGCGCAAGGGACTCAAGCCGGATATCCCGGGCCTAGACAACTTCATGGACAAGCTGTAAGGCCATTGTGGTTTTGCTTAGTCCGAGACATGTCATACCCCCAAAAACACAGTTGAAAAATAAAAAGGCGTAATATCATTTGTTTAGATCTTCTAATTACTTGACCTTAACAATAATGCTCAATCTATAACAGGTAGCAAGGGTAAAGCGTGGATGCGCATTGGGTGCCAGCTTCTGACACTAAACTTAAATGCATTGGTAAGTAAACGGTTATGATAAGGAATAACAAATAAGTAGTGATTTTTATTTGTCTATGATAAGGAAAAGGGTAAAACAAGGAGCAATGATAGGGGCTGTTCCCAGAAAAAGTATCTAAAGATTTTAGAGCATCAACGACACCTTCAGTTAGTGTGAGTAGTCAATACAGTCTGTGTCGGATGTGTTCATTTTCGCCTCTGATATTGTTTACCATCGTTTTTAAGGAATCCAAAGCGAGCTTGAAAATCTTCACACGCAGCTTTGCCAGGAGTACTACTGGGGTGGGAATCCCCTAGCATTACGAGATTCGTTGGCTCACCGTGTGTAATACGCATATCAACCTTTCCTTTCCTTTCCTTTCCTTTATCTTCTTCTTTTTTCCCCTCAATTAATTCATACACATGTACACATGTACATGCCTAGCTACTTTTTTCAATCGTACTATTTTTACAATATCTTTTAATTTCATTTCTGACATCTTGAAAAATGGT